AGAGTCGTTAATAAATAATATTGGCCCTCTTGGTCGTTGAACAGGCTCCCCCACTCGGCTATAAATCTGATAATGGGTCTTGCAGATAATTTACGATATGATAAACAGCAACGCCATTAAGAAGTCATAACAAGGGAGGGAAAATAAAATATAAGAACATAAGTTTCACTCATTAACCAATACTACTCAAAAGAAATTGGAAATGTATTTAAACTCATATTATGGGATTTGATTCCAACAATATAATTCTCATAATTTATAATGTGCATAGAATAGGTTTAAGATCCTACTTAACCAAACAAAAAAATAAATAAGGGATTTGTGGAGATAATAGACTCATGAATCTGGATAGAAAAGCCTATAAGAAAAAAGACAATCAATTTTATATTTATGGTAATAAAACCCCCAATATGAGGCTCTGTCATTTATTTACAAGTTAAATAAGACCGGATTCAGTGTTTATTGGTTTAAGAGTGGACAACAATACAGGCTGCCACGTCATATTTTGGGGCAGATTGTTTACAGTAAATAGTTAATTTCTTTGCGTACAAAACACGTAAAGACATCATTTCAGCGTCATGCTATCAGTTCTTCATGACCTGTCAACTACAAGTGATTTATGTTCGTATTTACAGAAGAGCGAAAAAATACTGTTACTTATAACTAAATTAGGAAGTGTCAATTTTATTAGTTAATATATGTCATTTGCTGCCACCCCAGGAATTTTGATACCACCTAATTGTATGGTTGCAATCAGTAGTTTTGATCATTCTAGAACACTTTTATTCTATGGCATTTTGTCACAAATTAAGTACTGTACTGTATAAGTGAGATATTTTAGTAGCCGGTTTGTTAACCAATCAGATCTTGGTATAGTGCATGGGTTAGGTTAGGTTTTCCTAAATTAATTATATACTCTATACTAATACATACAGTATACATATATTGTATACTAATACAAATTAATTACATAAACTGTACACGCTTGTCCTATAAGTTTGTAGGAAATGTCAAATTTTCCCCTGAAGTCAAAACTTTTTAATTATAAATTTGTACCCAAAAATTACAAACAATAGAATCAAATCTATATAACATTTTACATCCATCAAGCATAATTTCAACTTCCAAATGCTTGAAATTTTACCATTAATGCTACATCATCCACAGAACAACTGTGGATAATATGAATCAAATATAAACACAGTACTCTGGTACTAAGTGACTCCACCACTGCTACCCAATAATGGCTCAGTACAAGTTATGAAGGTGTTATTTGACTGTGCTGGCAGGGCAAATAATCAAAGGGTGTTTGACCGTTAGCTGCGGAGATTGTTTATGATTTGACTACGATTTTAATGAGATTGTGGACAGGATGGCTGTGGGCATTATTACACTAGTCATTACATAATAACTTAAATGCTTAATCATTATCTCCCTTAATTATCTTCTGATACTCCAAGATGTCCCACTTCTCTTATGGACATATAATGATGTAGGTTGGATTGGGTTAGGTTAGGTGAGATAAACATTTTTTAGTCTATACCTGATACCTAAACTGTATTATAACCATTAAACATTGAGCTGTTGGTTTTCTAAATAAATTCTTGCAGAAGTGCATCAAACCTGTTAGGGAAGGATGAGGGATGGGAGCTTGTTCCGACCCCCTTCCGTGTTCACAATCTCCTGGGAGGGAGGTGAACAGTTGCAGGGGGCACTTCGGGACGAATACACTTTTTAGGGTGCAGGTCCTTAGGCCAGAACTAAAAAAACAAAAGAAAAATAGGAGAGTAGGCAAAAGAGCTCAAACCACATTTGGAATATCGCACAATAGTTGCTCTCCGGCTGTGATGTGGGTCACTCACATCGCCAGTGGGGAGAACAGACTAATGCGTTATAAACCTTACGGTCGTGAGATGTGGAGTAGCAGGTAGGGCGGGTGGCCCAGACTGGCAGCAGACAGCGATCCTCACAGCTGCAGCAGAGGGAGTGTGGTGTTCACAACTCCGGGGGTCACCATTTGTAGCATACAGTAACGTGGCCAGTTGTCAATTCTCTTTAGTTGTCTATTGTCTCTTTGTATGGGTACACAAACGTACGTACGTACATGTAGATATCTCACACTCAGGAATGAGGTAGAATAGAAACTCACAATGCGTTTTCTGTATATATATATATTGTTGTACAGTGCAGTGCTAAGGAGTTACTAGGTGATGAGTTGTTTGCTCAGAGGTCCTGTAGGGCGAGGAGCTTTCTGAGGGAGCTGGGTGGTGAGGCGCTGGAGAGAGGTCTTGCTGGTCCAGTAGGTCAGAGTAGAATGGTCTTCCTGGCCAGCCACGCCCGTATTTATACAATTCTGCCAACTCGGGAATCGAGGCGAGCATAGTGCAGGAGCCAGTCACAGAGGAGAACGCAAGAGGTGCCCGGCACTCTGATCTTGGCATGTCGTGGGAAGCTATGGCCTCTCCTGGGGTTGCAACGTCTGCGTCCGCACTGGGGAGTAGGTCTACAGGCATCGCTGGCTGTACACTGATTGGCTGGTAGGCGCGCGGCAGCTCAGGCATCAGTTGTAGGGCAGAGGATCCACTACAATAACATCTCCTCACAAACGAAGACTGAAAACTACTTAAAATCAATTAAGTTCAATTGTGTCGTTATTATCCATTTCTGCTAGGTATATATGGGGTTCAAAATGCTCAGAATAGTGAGATCTAAATGTTTCAGTAGTTTATAACTTTTGGGCACGCTATGTCCTGAAGTAAAATAATACCAAAATGAAAATAATTATTTAACAAAGAAAACGATTAAAACATTGGTAAATAAGCCAAATACAGAACAAATGAAAGTGATTTGGCACCAGCGCCTAAACCCCCGAGCAGTGAGATGATTGCAGGCGTATAAATAATGTTTTATTATTCATTTTCATCTTTAATAAGTTGTATTATTGTACTGTATTTTATTTTCTCTCCCAAGCAACAGTTATTTTTCTGTACTGTATACAGCTCCTCCCCGACTTACGACGGGGTGAGGGACCCAAATCCAGGTCGTAAGTCGAAATGGACGTGTCGGAAATGCTTAAATAATACATAGAAAATCGAAAATGGGAGTCTCTTTTTCTTCTCAGCACCACAAAACACTCACTTTTTAGCTTGCCAGCCATTTTAAAGTGAATTACAAACGAAAATTCTGTCTGTGTACCGACTTTGGGACTCGAAAATACGTAATTTTACCAAATTTTGGTATGACTGAGGCATGTCGTAAGTGAGGGTGGTCCTAAGTCGGGGAGGACCTGTATAATGATGGGAATGAACGGGTAAAGTAGTGGTGACGAAACAGTTGAAAAAAGTGGTCACGAAACGGATTGGTGACGAAATGGGTACCAGGGCAGACCCCCATCATTCATATGAGGTAAGATTAGGGCCTAACCCTACCTACTATTAGGAAAAGGTTTTTTTTTTTTTTTAAAGGGATTAACCCACCCAGGCACAGGTCACTGACCCACATCAGGGCCTGGGGGGCAAAAATGTAATAATAATAATCATCGTAAATTAAATTTATAAAACACAAAATTAAAAATTAAATAATAATAACAACAACAACAACACTGATAATAATAATAATAATGATAAAGAACCATAAAGAAATAAAAAAATTAAAAACAGATCAATAGTGAGAAACGATATATGTAAGTTGTGTTGTCAAAGTAAGTGAAACAATTGAGACCCTGCAATTGTGTGTAAATGAGGCAGAAAGTCAGATCAGCAACGTGGGACTTGGTCACAATTTTCGTGATGCCATATGACAGCAGGGCTTACCATTAGACAACACATTATGCCTCCAATTTCTTTCCAGGTGGTAGTACCTCCCTGTTTGATAGCTGCCTGCTACCTTCAAGGTTAGGTTAAGTTTAGTTTAGTTTAGTTTAGTAAATTATGTGGTTGAGAAATAGTTCCATAGCAGTTAGCTTGGTGGGGAGGCAGCCCCGGTGAGTTAGCTTATTTAGAAGGGTGTAGGATCATGATTTATACCAGAAATGGGTACTGTATTAGTAGAGAGTTTGACCCTAATCACAGACCTTTTTGTGTGTGTTCTTTCATATTCTTGGCCCAAAATAGGGTGAATGGTATTATTGCAGTTTTTCACAACCATAGAATTGATAATTTTTTATTTGTGTAACATACTTAAAAGGCTACTATAAGAAACTTTTCTTCTTTACCATTTTTGTAGGCAATGCATAATATCGTCGGAAATTAAATAATTTATTTACGTAAGCACGGTAATAGTTACTAAAAAAAAAGATTTTAATAACGTAATGATTTGGGACCAAATGCTCTATTTTTATAAAGCAATGAAGGTCAAACTCATCTGATACCCATAAAAATGTTCATGTTGAAAGAGGTGTGTGGTTGAAAATGCAAATTTAACCAATAAATTAACAATGAAGAACAATCCTTGCCGTAGTTTAATTAGATTACTCTTTAATGGCACCTTCCCCTCCTTGCAGATGTGAACAGTGGTTACAGGTTGCACAACTGTGTTTAAATAAGCCACCAGTGTGTGTGTGTACAGCACAAGGAGCATCAGATAAAAATAAAAATTAATTTTTTTTTAGAAGTGCAGTAAAACTGAGGTGCAAAGCTTGAGTCCATCAATAGGTCTAACTGAATGAAAGTTATAGCAGCCACACTGGGACTTGCTGCTCTGCTCTAAACATGGCCTTCTTCACTGTCAAATGGAGCAATACAGTATTTAATCTTAGCTTCAAGGTTCATATCTGACATTTTAGCATTACTCAAGATCAACCTATTCATGAAGCAAAATGTCAACCAAAAATCAATTAACAAAATGCCATTCCCAACAACAACAAAAACTCTAGTGAAGTTATCAGACAGCATAACAATATTGTTTTCATTTACCCGAGGTATTCCTCCAAACATTTTTTTACTTTCTTAACAAATGTAGTTTTAAATTACTTTACGTGTACTGTAATTTATAATACAATACAGTTATGTAGTTTTTATTCATTATTCACAATTTATCATGTTTCTAAAGTGGTACTGAAATCTTTGAACCATTATTGATACAGTACTGTGTCTACTTTATACAGTACAGTAATCTGTACAAACACATCTACAATACTCATTACCAAATTCACTGTAATGAAACACATCAAGTTTCACAAGAAAAATATCACTTGGATGTTTTAAATAAATCTCAGGTTCTCTGAATCTGAAATACACACAAACATTTTAATAAAAAATTTATTGTAGAGATGAATGACTAAACCAAATTATGAGATGTTGCATTCTGTAGTCATTAAAAATAAGTAAAACTAAAAATAACAATTTAAGATAAAAATAAAAATAAACAATTATCCTCAATTTATTCCTGAGACACACAGTGAATCAGACTCTTGCTTGAAGGCTTCATAAATATACTTTTCACCTCATTCACCATTAAGTTTCCATCACATAATCTTCTGCAGAAGTTGTCCCACTGTGTACAGTCTCTTGTGGTTCATCTGACTCACACTAAAAGTTATTGGATATATGGTCTCTCCATTTTCTGTCTTCCACATTGCAACTGTAAATATTCATCAACCCATAATCCATTTTACACACACAGTACAATGTCAATTTACTGGACTAATTATTGCATATACTATACTGTGGGAATTCTGTATAGTGAAGCTTTTACCATTTTTTATCTCCAGGTACAGTACTGCACAATATAACCTCTAACTATAATGTATGGGGCACACATTGTCCCACAATGTGAAAAAATCACTGATTAGTTTTTACTTTCATCCAAAATACACCCTACTGTAGTTAATTATACAGTAGTATTAACATAATAATAATCATTTTAATGTTAATCAGAGGAGAGTCATGAGTGAATGCATTTGTACACCTGAGTAGTATTGTATTCTTAATGGTAATTTATGGAATACACAAAATAACCCATTAAAAATGTACAGGAAACCCCTGCACATACAGTACTTTACTTTAGTCAGCGAGTCATTGTGAACCACAATGTGTGAGGTTGAGAGCAATAAGAGAGGTGTTGGTAGCCTTCCTCCCTCATTCTCATCATATGTCCTACACTATTCATTAGTCTGACAACTAGCTGTAATAGTTTGATTATTAGTTTCACTGAATAAAATACTTTACCAAACATAAAAAAGCCTATTTGTGTACAACATTAATACCACTTGGTAACTCTACTACTGTACAGTACTTTCACACACAACATAATATATCTTTAGAATTAACCAAAATAAAGACAAAAGACAGTAGGGATTTAATGTGGTTTCCTCAATGATATTTTATTCCACCCGATGAAAAAATAAGAAATTAAGGAAATGGTAAAATTTTCACCACAGTAACTGGTATAAGCCATGGATGGGAGGCCACTGCTGACCTGCTCCTTCCCAACTACTAACCTTGCACACTTATGCCTTTTATGGCTGAAAATAATAATATTTTAATTGAATAACTTTTTTTGAATAGTAATAAAGACAGACTACAGCTCCATAATCTGATTGCCATCAAAATTTAATATGTTAATACTTCACAGTTTAACATGATGGTACTATTTCCTCCAGTAAGCTGTATATATAACTAACCATACTAATACATTTCGAACATTGTATTAACTGTTCATTAATACAGGGTATAAATTAATATTTTTCATCAATTCAGATTTAAAAATAAATTAAATTAAGATATGTAATTATAAATCTACATATTATTTGGCTGCCTGACAACAGGCATTTGTGTTTGTCAGTTGTGTATCTGTGTACAGCCTCACCCCTGCACTCTAATATCCCCTCCAGCTTATTCGTATTAAAAAAATATTGGGACGTATAAATTACCTGTACTATTTTTTTGGTAAACAAAGAAACCGGACATACTGCATAAAGACATTTAGCCCTTAACCATCAACTAAGTATTCTCTACTGCCCCACATGTGTGTGTGTGTGTGTGTGAAACACAAGGAAAATGAAACTTCCCGATGATGGTAACTGTCCCAACAACTAACTTCCCCTGATGATGGTAACTGTTCCTACAACTAACTTCCCCTGATGATGGTAACTGTCCCTACAACTAACTTCCCCTGATGATGGTAACTGTCCCTACAACTAACTTCCCCTGATGATGGTAACTGTCCCTACAACTAACTTCCCCTGATGATGGTAACTGTCCCTACAACTAACTTCCCCTGATGATGGTAACTGTCCCTACAACTAACTTCCCCTGATGATGGTAACTGTCCCTACAACTAACTTCCCCTGATGATGGTAACTGTCCCTACAACTAACTTCCCCTGATGATGGTAACTGTCCCTACAACTAACTTCCCCTGATGATGGTAACTGTCCCTACAACTAACTTCCCCTGATGATGGTAACTGTCCCTACAACTAACTTCCCCTGATGATGGTAACTGTCCCTACAACTAACTTCCCCTGATGATGGTAACTGTCCCTACAACAAACTTTCACTAATGATGGCCAATGTTTAAGGGTTAAATGATCCATACAATATCTAGCAGCCAAACTGTTCTGTTTGTCCAACACACAAGTCATACAGCCTCATAACAGAGATTATATATTCACTCAGTTTTGACCATTTTTGTATTACTTTTGTCAAAATGTAATTAAAGGAGAATCTCCCGTCTGTTCTTGCAATGTTTCTGATGTGCAGGTGTCCAATAACTTAACATACAGTACTTCTGTATTGTATTTCATACATACAGTATATTTAATCATAATGACTCACCCTGTATTAAAGTATATTAAGACCACAGTTTTCAGCGTCAGTTGTTACACGTCATCTAAAGTTTTTCTGTTGTAATTTTGTCTCCCAGCACATCTGTTAAACATCATGTATTCCTACAGTCACATACAAGTCACCATCTGTTGTATCTTCCTTCTTAGACTCATCACTGTCATCTATTCCAACTTTTACTTATACATAATTGTCCAGGTCGTCTTCCTTCACTTTCAAACCTTGGTCTGGTTTTTCTTCTTCCTTCACTTTCAAACCTTGGTCTGATTTTTCACATGAGAACTCTTCATCACAGTAAACTTCTTCTTCTTCTTTCACAATTTCATCAATTTCCTTGATTTTTCCTTGAAGTTCTTCATTAAATCCATCACTGTCTGAATTTTCTTCCTTTATAGGTATACCAAACACTTGCCATCCTTTACTAGAGACGTCAACATGAATGTTGTGTTTGTGAGTACAGGTATTAGGCTGGACCTGAAACACAAAAATATTTGTAGTGACCTTAACAGATAAGAACTGCTAGATACTGCCTCCTCTTAACATATATCCTACAAATAGCATCTCAATTTGTCCCTTGAGCACTGATGATATGACTCAGGTAATGGTAAAACATACTTTACTGCAACAATTCACCCCAAAAAGTAAATGTTTTCTCTACAATTTGTAATGTTAATTGTAATGAAGTTAATTCAATACAATATTGTACCATTAAATTTTGATTCAAGAACTGACATCCTTGTTTACAGACAAATACAATGTACTGTATATATGACTCCTGCTCCCACCTACAGTAGTCTGAAATCTCAACCATTAATGCATTACAGGTATCCCTCGTTTAATGGACAATAACTTAGCGATATTTGTGTTTACAATATAATACTTTTAACACCCTCTCTTGTCTAACGCTGTTTAGCGATGTTCGACTCACTGGGGATAGTTTGGGAGGGAAGACGGAAAAACTCCCAAGTGTGCATCAATACAATACAGTACTGTACTGTAATATAATGCAGCTTAGAAATAAAGAAAATATAATGTAAAACTATACAATAAGAAAAATGAAGAGCCTGTGTGGGAAGTGAAAGTGTGTGTTGAGACAGTGAGCTGTAAGTGAGGCCAGCCGCACTCTCCCTACCCTTCTGTGACGTCACGGCCTACACAGCCAGCAGTCACACACGTCTCTCGAGTCAGCCGAGTGACTGCCAGGTTGAACTGTGTCGCATGTATACTGTACCAGTTAATGTGAGGAATAAATAATAATAATAAAATACTGCCTTACCATTTGGCAATCATTTCACTCCACACAAGACCGTACACAGCTGGCAGATCTCCCACCTCCCCCACTGTGTGCGTTATTCCCGCACTAGAAGAAACTTTTATTCCCTTCATGTTTTTAACTTTGGGGTGAAATTTCAGTCATGCACCGGTCTTTCTCTTGCTGTTGTTAATACGTTTTTTAATAATGTTTAGACAATTTTAAGACCTTTTTCTTCTATGATATTTCCACCGGAAATTAAGGATAACCGAGATATTAATTTTTCAATGTTATTAGATTTGGTCAGCCAGTCATAAGTGTCGCCATTTGTTGTTTACGTCTCACAGAGAAGGTCTGACCACCCATAACGCAGTTGTTACGTTTTAAGTGCAGGAAAGTGGCATTCTTACCGTAGAACTCGGATACCTTCACACTGGTTACTCACCCAAGAGATTATGGTGTATCACTACGTAGAATTTTGCTCTGCTTCCGGCACTCAATGCGTTATGTACTTGATAAATGATGATTTAGTGAATTCCACTAACTTCCAACATCCATCTAAGTTATTGGTTATACTTTGTCATAACCAATGAGTCATTACCCTTGGTAATAATGATAATAGAGGGATCACAGATACGGGCAGATGATTGCACTTACGTTTATTTGGCACAATTCCATACACTGGACTTATAATTTGCATGGATAGGTCAGTCACTCACATTCACGCCACAGTACCGTAAGTTATAAGGGAGAGTTTGTCAACCTGGTGAATTAATCGTTTAGATCTATTAGGCCGGCCTGGAGTGCTCTTGTAGCAAACAGGCCCTCACCATTGATCACTTCCTTTACAGGATGTGTTAACTTGTCGCTGGACTTAACAAAAAAATCTCGGGGATTTGCACACACAGACCCGTAGCACTGGTAGGACTGTATGGCCCCTAATCTTAAGTCCGCGGAGCAGGAGGTCTTCTCTAACCCAAGGTCTAAAGCCCACTGGCTAAATTGGTTTTTTTGAGGCGTGAAGTGATGAACAGTACACCACTGTCTCACTGGCCTGCCCCCCCCTACATGTCCCAGTCATGGCTGGCCGGTTACCTTATCTCTACCGTAAACAAACATTTGGGATGGGTTGTGCGGGAGGCCCAACGCAACCCATGACAGCAGTGCTCCTTACCTCCGTGTTGGCTTCTTAAGAGTCTACAGTGCATATGCAGGAGGGGGGGGGCATAACAATAGGAGATAATAATTGGGCATTAGTTTTTTGTCTTAGCCAATGAACAATGCGTGGGTGTGTTGGGAGCGGAGATTTTATTTTTCAATACCAAAATAACCAGATATGGTTGAACAGGTGGAAAGAGCTGTGCCGACATTGTGACAGAGATTATTTTACGTCAATTGTAGAGTTTCATCAGTAAAACAGTGTTAGGTTAGGTTAGGCTAGGTCAGGTCAGGTTAGGTTTTGTTGGTTGGTATTTTATTTATATGATTTGGTTGAAAAATTTTTTTTGTAAAGATTGATGGGTAAGGGGGAGGGGGATCTAAAAAACTATTGATTTCTGGCTGAAATGAAAACCAAATTCGTTCAAAACTCATCAAATAACACCGGAAAAACATATTTTTAATATCCAAACAAAGACCGGTGCAGAAGTGAAATTTGACTTTTTTTTTTTTGGCATACTCTGTATGAACGATTGTGAGCATAAAAAATCTACATGAAATTACAAGTTGAACAATAACACAGCTCAGAGCGCAGCCTCACCTGCAGTGAGTGCTACTGGGTGGTGAGTTGGTGGATCCCTATTGTTAAACGAGGAATACCTGTACAGTATTAGGAGTCATTATACAAACACTCCTTTCATCTTGGATGATACAATGTAACTGATCTATTAACAGTTTATCTCATGTATTACAAAATACAGGAATTGAGAATACTCTTCCTACAGTATTACAATACTGTTCTTATATTGAACCTTTATATAGAAAATTATTAAAACATTCACCCTTTCGTTTACCTGGTGTAAAAAGTCACACTTTGAGCCAAATAAAAAACCTTGCCCAAGATAAATAAACAATATGTGTAGTGTCAATATATAACTGTACAAGGTAAAGTGACTACTGTACTGTACAACACTTACCAGCACTTCCTTGTCAAGTGTTTCCTCTCTCTGGCTTTCTGATGTTTTCTCTTTTGATCCTTTTCTCTTTGTTCTTGGTCCACTTTGTTGTTCATCTGGAAAAATAGTACAGGTTGACAATCCTTTATCCGAAATCCTTGGGGCCAGAGGCATTTCGGTTTTCGGAATTTTTCGGTTTTCAGAATGGTTAGTTTTTTTTTTGTGTATTAGCCCACCCAGGCATAGATCACTGACCCACATTGGGGCCTGGGGGTCCAAAATATAATAAAAATTATAATAATAATAATTCATAGGTCTAGGTCGTGTTTCATGCTGATGGCTTACTGCTGATACTATTAAAGAGGCAGTGGATACAGTTGGGAAATGGAAGGACAAAATAGAGGCAGGGGCCTGAGAGTGAACGTGGCAAAACAAAGAGTGTGGGTGAGAGACCCTTGGTGGAGAGTGGAAAATGGCCATGAGCTGCCGGCAACAAAGGTGTTGGCAGTGACTCAATAATGTGCAACAAGTGTGGAAGGTGGGTACACAAGAGGTGTTGTGGCAGACTATGGGATGTTGCTGACTTTAATTGTTCTCTATGTGCAGGTAACCATGTGCCCACAGCAAGGCTGGGGAACTAAACATTGTGTATATGTTGATGTGTTCTGTTACCTGGGTGACATGATCAGTGCTGGTGGGAGTGCTGAAGCCTGCTCAGTTGCAAGTGGCTGCTGCAGGAAGTTTAGGGAGCTGCTGCCTTTATTGATGACAAAAGGACCTTCCCTCTGAGTGAAAGGATGATGTATGTGGTTGGTGTGAGAAGTGTGATGTTGTATGGCAGTTAAAGATGATGACATAAGTACTGCAGACTTGAGCCAGCCAAAATGAGAATGCTGAGGTGTATGGAACTGAGAAGCTGTCTATCAACTTGGTTTTATTCAATGTGCAAGTGTTATATGCTTTATATTAAACCCTAAATATGTGTGACTAATTTGGTGCCAACATTCATGGTGTATTACAGTAGCTAGGTCCAGGAGACACCAAGCACTTCAGCTTTACCTTCTAAAAGTTTATTTTTTAATGACCTTAACTTGCACAAACTTAACTTTTGGTTAAATTAAAATACTGTATTGGCTTTTATATACAGTACAGTACTATATGACCACAGTACTGTAGTTGTATTTACCTTGATCCTCAGTTTGTATTTGAGTCACATCTTGTGCCAATATCTTTCTCTTTCTTGTTTTATTTGCTGGTCTGCCCTTATTGCTCCCAGGAGGTGCACCATCTTCTGAGGTTGATGGAGTTGTTGGTCCAGCATCTGGCTGTTGTCTGTAAATACAGTAACAACATTCTCTTATAATCACACATAACTCTTCCATTTTTCATAAACATTTAACAATAGTTTTTTGCTGTGGTAGCAACTCCACACATGAATGACTCACACACTGATGGAGAAACATATAGTTTCATGTTACGCTGGCATATACTTGTATAGATACACTGACCCTTGAAACAGGAACAGACAATCACAAACTCAATTGAAAAGTTTTACTTCTCAAATAATAAAATAAAGAAAATATCATTGCATACACTAAACACCTTTGTTCCAGACAGCACATGGCCATTGGCCATTTTCCTCTTTCCACAATGGGTCCCTCCCTCACTTACACCACGAATTAATACCGGTACCTTTGTTTCTGCCACATTCATTCTCAGTCCCTTTGTCTCTATTCCACACTTCCATTTCTTAAAATTCTTCACTGCCCCTTTATTACTATCTGCTATGAGCACTAAATCATCAGCATAAAACAACTGTCAGGACAGGCCAGTATCATATATTTTGTCTCCATTATATATACAGGTACAGTAATGCCATATTTCATAAGAGTAAACTGTATTTTGAATTATACTCCAGAGTGAAAGCAATGCTGTATACCAGTACAGTAAATACCATATATGGAATATTTTGTTGTCTCCAGATGAAACCATTCTGCTTAAGGGAGGAAAACCTATGTAAATTTTACTATATAGGTGATGATATCAAATGGACATCTAAAATGCATTTACTGTACAGTATTACTAAACTACAATATGAAATACAGTACAGGTTGTACCTCTCTAGTCCGGCAACCTCGGGACCTGACCGGTGCCGGACCATGGAAATTCACCCATTTCCTGGATAGATAGTGACTTGTGCTTATGCTTGGAAGCACTAGCACCACTTTCTCTGCTTCATGGTCTCTTTGAAGACATATTGAAGGGTTAAATGTCGTACAGTAACTTCTCAAATTTCGCGAGTTTTTAATTCGACCTTTTCTATTTGAACACAAAAAAAACTTAAAAATTTTGACGGCGGAAACTCGAATTTTGACGGGTTTGAATGGCCCACCAACGTTCAGACGACGTGCACAATCGTGTAAACAGCGTCATTTCTCTTATGTACACAGGATTCATTATTTTTTATGACAAAGTCTTTTTTATTGAATTAATGTTTGTGTGCAAAATGAGCAATACAATTTATTAATAATACGTAGAATATTAAAACACGAGGAAATGAGACAGCATTGTTTTCGTTGATTAAAAACCAGTGACTGACTGGTTCTACATATAAAACTGAAGAAAATAAGACCTTGGTTGTAGCTGTAGTAAAATTAATATGGTTGTTTTAAGTAATGTTATTTAATGTTAATAAATGGAACAAAAGAAGTAGCTAACGATACTGGTAAAGAAAAAAAAGAGAGATCGTGTATGTAAGTGCGCACGTGATAACACATCTTCATGACTTTACATAAGAATATGAAAGCAACACTTATTTACTGTTCATATATATTTTAATTAATGTTTCTGAATTTGTTTTTGTTGAATTAATGTTTGTGTGTGCAAAATTAACAATACAATTTATTAATAATACGTGGAATATTAAAACACACGAGGAGACGAGACAGCTGCCGGCATTGTTTTTGTTAAAGCTTACAAAACCAGTGACTGATTGGTTCTACATATAAAACTGAAGAAAATAAGACCCTGATTGTAGCTGTAGTAAAATTAATGTAAAAAAAAATTAATATGGTTGTTTGAAGTAATGTTATTTAATGTTAATAAATGGAACAATATAAGTAGCTAACCATTAATGGTAAAGAAAAAAAGTGAGACTGCGCGTATGTAAGTATGCACATGTGAAAACATATCGTCATTACTCTACATAAGAATATGAAAGCATCTCTTATTTACTGCTCATATGTATTGAAGGGTTAAATGTTTTACTCTGTATAGACAAGCAGAGAGAGAGAGAGAGCAGACCGAACTGCCAAATGTAAACAAACCTTAATTTCCCGCGGCTTTGTTGTTGTTTTTTTACGGGGATTAGCCCACCCGGGCATAGGTCACTGACCCACATTGGGGCCTGAGGGGCAAAAATTTAATACTCATGTAATAATAATAATAATTCGGATAAGTTTAAAAAAAAAAAAGCTGCCTATCTACCTATTGGGCAAACTAAAATCGTTCCGGACCACAGAATGCCGGACTAGAGAGGTACAACCTGTAGAAGAAATACACATAAATAACAAAATTAATTCAATATCAAATGATACCTTATGTACAAAAGTGATTCCTTTTGTTGGTCAGGATTCTCCTGTATCGCTGGGCCACATTCTCTGACTATCTCTCGTACAAGTCTTTTATTATTTCTTTTATCGGCTCGTATCTTCCGAGTGATAGACGCCGGTTTCTCTGTAAGAACGGGATGATTTAATAAACTCGGTACAGTACTAATAATTTGTGTGCGGTATCAGACACATGGTTTCATTACTGGTTTATAAAAGAAACACTCCCAGCATTGTTGGTGAAGCAAGGAAGATACACCAACTAACTGATAAGGTCTCTTGCACCATCCCCACACAACTAACATCAAGGTAACCATTCAATGTTTCTTTATTTTCAGAAGCATTATTCCCAATATTTTATGTTATTTGGACCCATTTGGGGATGTTCCAGCCTAACTTTGAGTGAGCTGGTCCTAATTGTTGAAAACAAAAATAAATAAATAAATAAATTATAATAAAATAATTAATTCATAAGAAAACACATAAATTACACTTCTTTCATTTCCATGTAGTGGGAAGTTATCTTTGCTTTCAGGACCAATTACTACAGTACATATACTGTACTGTATAATATTATCCTGTACTAAACTATATCATGTAAAAACTGATGACTGATAGTGCAAGAGGTAAATTTTTCTTCCAGATTTGACCTAATTTTTTAAAGGATGATACTGCAGTGTATTGGTCAGATAATGAAGATTGTTATGACACTGAAATGTTTACCCTAGAAACATATTTTGACAAGAGTTGAGCTTTACCATGCCGGTATATGTGAACAAATAGATAAAATTACAATTTAAACCCCCCAAAAATGCACGAGTTTTTAGTACTTTTAATGCTTAAAAAGACAAACATAAGCTGATGCAAGGGATTGAGATATTTTCTTGAAATGTGCATGATATGGCTGTAAATACCATTATGCCAACTGAATTTTGGCATATGACTCATAATGTATGCAGCTTTTATAAATAAATTAACTACTCTATGCTATACATTTTCACCCTACACAAAAAGAGACGCTGAAAAATGCTTTGGTTAACTCCTTTAAGTCTTCCAATTAGACAGACTGTGTAGAATACAGGAGGATTTTCAAATGACAAAATGGGACTCGGGAGTAATGTGCCTTAACATAACTTGGCACCTGTCTTAAAACTTGGGTGAAGTAAACCTAATCTTACTGGCAACTTATAAATTAATGAAAGCTACTTTGGGAATCTAAAAAAGTAAAAGTATTATTACCTCACAAGTCTCTTTTTTTTTTTGGGTGTGTGGAGGGGGAAGGTTTTGCATGTAATTTAATATAATGTTTCAAGTAACTGTTACCGAAAGGAGAATAGGCATAGATATTTGTAAGACTAAGACTTTGAATTAAATTGTTTAATTTTTTTCAGTCAGACCTTTTGCTACCTGTTGGTTTTCTTTCTTAAATACATATTATTTGGAAAAGGGCTGCTTAATCCTTTCCTACTGTATGCCACAAATAGTACATCTCTATTATTCATCATTAAAACACTACAGGGCACTTGGTCATTTATTTCAATGCAGGTTATTAGGGTTACCGTAGTATTATTTCAGTAGTGTAAATCACAAAACATTGCATGATAAAGGATATTAAGCTTATATAGTCAGAGTTGCCAACCTAATATATCTGTGTCTCTACGTACTTGTTCATTCCAATTCCCATTGAACCCAAGGATCGCAATACCTTTTCTGATGGATGTACCTTAAAGCATGAATTATATTTCATTATCATTTAATAGTCATATACACAACTGGTACACTTGCTGCAGCAATATAAAACAAGTAGGCACAGGGTATTTAATATAGAGCCACAAATAAAGTCTGGTTCAGACTGACAATTGCTTCCTTCAGTCAGGATCGAGTCCCTCTAGAAATTAGTGCCAGACATATAACAGTCAAGATGTACTACAGGTATATAATAATATTTTCATAAGTAAAAATACCCAGTACTTGCCAACAGTGAGTAACAGAGACGTGACCGATCGCCCAAGTGGCTAACGAGTCAATCAGTGATGAAGAGGATAAAAGTGAAAAAATAAAAGTAAAAATGTCATACAAGTCTACAATTAGGTAAGTATATAAACTATGCTGTAATACAGTTCAGCATGAATCAAGGGCAGCATTCTCAGTTGTCATGCCCTATGGTGTGCCCAGCCATCGGGCACCATACGCTTGTGTGGGGCGGGGTGGGGGTCATTCAAGAACATGCTTTGGGCAATAAGATGGGTCAGAACAAGGTCACCAACACTTTTTCACACAAATTTCATAAAGTAGTCCATTAACAATCTTACAACAACTTGATAGCTTAGGTTAGGTTACTAACCAAACCATTTCTGTCACAAATTAAGAGTTTTTGAGATACGCTCCCACCCCCATCTCAGAATCTTAGATTTGCTGTAAAAATTGAAGTAAAAAGTGCTCAAAACACACACACACAAAAAAAAACACTGGAAAACCGATTTTGAATCTAACCTAACCTACTCTTACCAGGGTTCAACAGCCGTTCAATGCTTCTGGGTATGTACCACCACTTATGAACATACATTATAAAGTGTTAAATATCCCTCTTAAATGTATTTGTGCCAGAAATGCCATAGAAGAAAAGTTTCTTAGAATTGTCAAAACAACCGACTGCAACTATAAAATTCACGAGATTCATAGTAGCCAGGTTTCGACTTATCCATAAAAAATAAGTTTTTTGCATAATTCGGACTATTCTAAGACACTTTTCTTCTATAGCATTTGTCGTAAATTTCTATTTTTCGAGTATTTTAATAGATAAAATTACCACCAATATTACTATAGTCAGATCTGCCATAACGCGATAGTTGTTCTTGTAAAACCTCGCGTTGTAGAAATTCGCGCAATAGAAATAACAGGGCTTATGGAGAAAATAGGGTTAGGTGCAGATTACTTGAAATAGAAAAAAAATTTAGTAGTTAGCCTAACACAAAGGATAGCATAGTCTAAATAAATGTTACATTCATATCTAATAATGAAATCATACAATAAATGTTACACTTTACCTTGAAAAAATTTGAATATAACTTGATGGGGGAGAAGGGTGGTTTGAGGTTGAGGAGTCATGCAGACAGGAGTTGATAGTTGTCATCATCAGTACTGTATCATCATCATCAGGTGCAGTTTTGGTTGCATGGGAGGGACGAAAAAAACGTCTAATTCCATAAGTGGATGGCTGTGGTTCAGTGTCTTCAGTCTGCTTCTTGGGGGTTGGCTTAAAAAAGACGTCTAATGTTTGCCGCTTTGCCATCTTTCTTCTTTCACAAAGAAGCTGTTCATAAGGTGCCAAAAAAGATTTAACACCACGAACTGCAATCCTGCTCCTTTCTGCATTGTAGTCATTGTCTTCCAAGAGCTGCAACTGCTTCTTAACTTCCCTCAGCATAGAAGACAAAAGAGAAGTGGGAAGCTCTCGTGGTTTTGCATCCTGGACTTCATCTTCGGCATCGTCAATTTCCCCAGCAGCAACAAGTTGTTGTAGATCAGCTGTAGAGAGGTCTTCACAGTGGGACTCGAGCAGTTCCTCAACATCAGCACTTTCCACTTCAGCAAAGCCAACTTGCTTTGCAAGAGAAACACAATTCTCTTTTATTTTGGGGAGCTCCTCTGATGTATCAAAGCCTTTAAAATCATGAATGAAATCTGGGAGAAGCTTCCGCCAAACTCCGTTCAAGCAGTCCTTACTTACATCGCCCCAGGCCTCCACAATGATGTCAATTGCATGTTTGATGTTGAAACTTTTCCAAAAATGAAGAACACTGGCCTTATCATTTCCTTCAGTAGCTGCAATAAGTTTCTTAAATGTACGCCTCAAATAATAGGCTTTGAAGGCTGCTATTACTCCTTGGTCCATTGGTTGAAGGAGAGATGTTGTATTTGGAGGTAGAAAGAGCACTTTGATATTGTCAGAAAGCTCAGCAATGGTGGGAGGGTGGCTTGGCGCATTATCTAAAATGAGGAGAATCTTAAAATCTATTTTCTTCTTCTTGCAATAACTTTTAAAAACATTTTCAAAAACATCCACAAGAAGGTCAGAAAAAATTTGTCCCGTCATCAAACCTTTTTTGCTTGACCTAAAGTGAACACCTAGAGTAGACTTTATGTAACCCTTTAAAGCTCGCGGGTTGACAGAGTGATACACCAGCACAGGCTTAAGCTTTAAGTCTCCACTAGCATTTGCACCCAACAACACTGTCACGCGGTCCTTCGCAGCCTTAAAGCCTGGAGCATGTGCTTCATTCTTGGAAATGTAAGTTCTTGTTGGCATGCGCTTCCAGTATAAACCCGTTTCATCCAAATTAAAAATTTGGTCTAAGGTGTAGCCTTCTTCCTGAATCAATTTCTTTACAGTGGGAGGAAATGCCCGCGCACTTGCTTCGTCGGCACTTGCTTCACCACATAACTTTACATTATGAAACGCATAGCGGTTCTTAAAACCAGAAAACCATCCACTACTAGCACTAAAGGCAACCACATCAGCAGGATTTTCAGCTTTTTTCTTTAGGTCCTCATATATTGATAAGGCTTTCTCTTTAATGGTGAGGAAGCTGGTCCCAGATCGCCTTTTCAATTGATCTTCTATCCAAACACTTAGAAGCCCTTCCATCTCCTCAAGTTCCTTTGGCCGTGATCTCACACTTTTACTAGCACTCAAGCTTCTTCCAGCAATACAGCTTGCTTTAATCTTTCCTGCATTCTCTCTAATGGTGCGTAAAGTAGACTCCTTTATTCCCGTTGCACGGACAATATCACGTGTTCTTTCCTTACGTTCAAAACGCTTGATAACATCAAGCTTCCCTTCAAGTGTTATAGCCTTTCTTTTACGATCACCACCGAGAATGAGATCACCTGAACGCTTCTTGGAGGTATTATTCTTTTCCATATTCACAGTTAATACCACAAATTTTGAGAAATAGTAAGCAAAAATCACTGAGGACGCTTCCAAACAACCCCGCGCTTCAACTGATCGTGTGAATGTGTGATGGAAACAGAGTGCAGGTGTAAAACACATTTTTTTCTTTTATTTAAAATTTTACAATTTACATATACAGGTATACATAAATATTAAATTAATTATTTCTGCAATTTTTCACAAACAAAACACATGAATCAATTGAACATGTGATGTCGAACGTGAACTGTAAACACTGCATAACCCCGCGCCAAGCAACAGTACACTTTAATGTGTACACACACACACACACACACACATACAATATCACACAGTAAATTCTATATGATCAATGATATATAGCAACGTGAAAACGTGAAACAATGTTCACCTGTAACCAGGCGAAGGTCGTTAGACTGTATCCAGTCAAGCGCCCTTCGCGCAAGCAACTGAACCTCCTTGTCCTGAGGAAGTTTTTTGACTCCTCAGGAATCACGGGGGTGACAAGGGTCGTCCGCAGAGACAGCGGTGGCCTTATCGTCACCTTCGCGAAATGGGGAGAGGCCCAGCAATTAGAAAACCTAAGAGAAATCAACGGGATCCAGATCCTAGTTGAAGCCTGCATAGAGGACAACTTGGTTTTGGGAGTCATCTCCTACACCGAAATTGAACACCTAGAAAAAGAAGAACTGGCCGCCCAAGCCAAGCGGCTAACAAGCCGATCAGTGGCGAAGAGGATAAAAGAGCTGATTGGAGACCAGCTCTCAATAGTACGGAAGCTGACCAGACAACTGCACTGGTTGGCTACCCCAAGAGACTACCAAGCACCGTTTTGCTGGGATGGGAGAAGATCCCAGTAAGACCGTATCAACGAAGGCCTACAAGATGCTACAAATGCCAGAGGTACGGCCATCTGGCGCGGAAGTGTCGTCCTCGGGAGGTCTGTTCCAGTTGCGGGACACCCGGGCACAGGACACCAACTGCTCGGAGGCCGCCAAGAAGTGCGCAGCTTTTGGTGGCCCTCACTCCTCCGACCGGGAGTGTCCCAAGTGGAGGGAGGAGTGTAGGGTAGCTAAGCTGCGAAGTAAGGAAAAATTGAGCTACAAGGAGGCTCTCCTTGTAGTGAAAACTGAAGTAAAGACGAACCAAGACCCGAGCAAGACCACAACAAATAAAAATCAAGACCCCAAGAAGACCACGGAAAAAAAAGAAGCCGAAATTAAACCCGATTTTATAACACTATCATTAATACCGTTTATAGACGTGTGTGAGAATATTCCAGAACAAGACTAAGAAGAAGAATGGAAATTGAAAAGTAAAAGAAGAAACAAGAAAAGGAAGAAGTCCAAAGAAAATGACTCTACAAACAAACAGCTTCGGCCGAAATAGCCTAACGGCGAAGTGGCCAGTAATCCCCAATACAATACAAAACGTGAGACACAGCTCCCTCAGCTGGTTACCATGGAAACATAGACACGCTACCGTCACGCGCCCCGGGTTTTTAGTTAGCCGCATTGCCAAAAGATGGCGGTAATAGGAGCTCAGTGGCTCACGTTTTTTTATCGGTAAAGGTAGACGCTTTCCCGTCTCTCTTATTATAGTCTTTGTCCTTGATGTCCAGTATTACTTCCTTATTAGATAGTCCCTGATCGTGACGTCACTAGTCAACCATTTGTCTGAGTGACGCCGTGAGGGAAGGTTGTGTGTGAGAAAATGCTAGGGTAAGCAAATGACGCTGGTAAGATCTCTGATGAAGCTGGAGTAAGAATATTAATATCATTTTATTATTCATTTAACATAATTATAAAATAGGAAGTAATTAACAAAATATTATTTTAACTTACCATTTTTAACATAGTTCAATGGAATTCTTCTTGGCTTACGAGCAAAATGATCAGTAACTTTGGTGTAAAATTCTGGCTTGCTCTGAAGATTATGCAATACTTCTTTTTCAATTGATAGAAGGGCTAAACTTTGCAATCTTTCTTGACCTTGAAAATTTCTTGAGTACGTTTTAATTCGCTTCAAAGCAGAGAAGCTGCGCTCTACAGATGCAGTCGTTGCTGGAACTGTTAAAATTAATTCACAAAGTCTTGCTACTTCATTGTAAGCCTTTTCCAAGTCATTCAGCTTTATAAAACTTAAAATTTCTGTTATAGTTTTATCTTTGAATTCCTCTGACATGTAAACAACTCTAAGTTGCGATTTCAGTGATAAAAAATCAAAGAAATTATCATAGCTACACTTCAGCGATTGAAAAGCAAGCTCTGGAAATTGCCCAAACTTAGTAAACTCACAGAATGATGGAGAGTGTAAAAGCTCTAAGAATCTTAATGAATCCAAATTTGCAAATCTGATATTAACCTGGTTAAGTATCGTGTCATATATTTCTACATAAAGTCGTGAGAATGACGTCTTCACATCAACATTTCCTTTTTGTCTCTTAAATCTGGGTTCATTTTCATTTATGTGATCACAGTTCTTTGTTGTTTCCCAAATGTTCTCAAACTCTTCTCTCTTCTGTTCCAAAGCCAGGCGAAAATCATTCACTTTTTTGACACAATAACCAACATCATGAATTTTTGCTTGCAGTATATCAAATAGTGTATCTGACAATGGGAAAAATGATGCAAAAAGATTTAAGAGAAAGCAAAAATTAAAATCAGTCATCGATGATAAAAATCCCCCTGCACGGTTATATGACTCTTGATCCCACTCAGATTCGGGATCTCTCATTTTCTCGAATACAGCGATAAGGGATTCTTTACACTCAAACACAGTTTCAACTAGTCTTGATGCATAATTCCAACGAGTGGCTGACACTTTCGGAAGTTTTCTCGTGGTCATTTCTTGATTAAGAGCGTGTGTTCTTTTGGTAGATTTACTGAAAAAGGCTGACAATCCATTCAAGGTCATGAAAAATACTTTGCATTTACTTATTTTTGCCATTGCTTGTGATAAAACTAAATTTAGTCTGTGGGCAAAACAGTGTATGAATAAAGCAGTTGGATATTTTCCCTTAACTCTTGACTGCAGGCCATTCAACTCCCCAGCCATGACAGCAGCACCATCATAGGTCTGAGCAACTATTTTGCTTTCACATTCATATTTTTGCATAAGATTTGTAACAAATGTGTAAAGTGCTTCTGCTGTTCTATCTTGAGAGACGTTTTCAAACCCTAAGAACCGTTCATATACCTTGTTATCCAATGAATACCGAAACACATATGACAACTGACATAAATTGGTAATGTCAGTGGCTTCTTCAAGCATTACTGAAATGAATTTTGCATGTTGGATCTCTTTTTTAATTTCATCAAGCATAACATATGACACAGATTCTATGAGGTCGTTTTGTATTAAATTGGACAGTCCACTGAAAGTTGTAGCATTGTCAAGGAATCCTCTTAACTGTCCATCATATTTGCTTAGCACGTCAATAAATTCGACATAGTTGCCTTTGTTTACTGAACTAGTGGCCTCATCATGACCTCTAAATGCTTGCTCTGTTTTTGCTAAGTAACATACTGTATCAATATAACGTTTCATGATTTCTCTGTTCCTTTTAACAAGCTGATTATGTTGATTGTCACGAACTCTCTTTTGATCACTCAACATATAGTCAATCCTTGCTTTACCAAAAGTTTTTTCAGATATTACAGCCTTCAAGTGACTTTCTGATAGGCTGTGCTTTTTTACTGCTTTATGTACATTTGACAAATCATTATATCCGTAAGTATTCCATACATTTTTATCATTTGAAAAAAGAAGACATGCCCAACAATAAACTCTTTGTGCACTAGAACATCCAGCAAGCCAGTCATTGATCATGTACATTTGATTGTTAAATTTTCGAACACAGTTTTTTACTTTTAAGCTAATGCTCAATTTAGGAATATGCCTGCCATTTTCCACAATAACTTTCTTACTTGTAAAGTCACGAGATCTAAAAGAATTCTTTAGTAGATCACATACAGTGCATGCACATGCTGAACTTTGCTCCTCCTGCGACTGCATTTTCAGTTTGGGGGTATATTAATCCAAATAAATGCGTCGCACTCACACATCATGACCTCTGAAAGTCAACTGAATTTCTTACGTTGAGTGTTGACATAGACCGTAGCCTCATACAGTGATACCATCTCTTTCAAAACAAAATCTATCAATTCGAAAAAAGTTTATAGCCATTATTAATTTATTATATTATTCCAAAATGACAATGACATTATTCAAGTACTATGATAATGAGTCCAATAGTCTACGAAACTGTGAAACATAAAAAAGGTCAGATAATTATTATTTACGGATACGAATTTATCATTGAAAAAAAAATTAATGAACTGGTAATGCTGCGGTGCTGCTGGCAGCGAGTATAGGGGGTGGGGGAGGGGGACCAGGGAGGACGCTGTGCTTACGTTGTCCAAATTTCTAGCACAATTAATTATACTGACTGATAATAACAAATATTATTGAAGGGACATTCCAGCATCAGAATGCTTTCCACAGCTTATTAAATTGATCTGAACCTTATTTACATGGGTTTGGAAAAAGGGGAGTAACATAAGTTAAATTATTTGTTCTCATCTTACGTCTGGCAATGGCATACCATTGACGCTGTGAGCCAGGGTACTGCAGCGGAATATTGCCTACTTGAGGGATAGATTTTCAAGCGGAAAATGCCCGTCTTGCAAGTTTCACAAATTAACTGGGACAAAAAAAAATGCACAATGCTATACACGATTGAATTAAATAATATGTTAATTAAATAAGATATTTTTATTTGGAAGGGAATCATTGTTATAGGGTAAGCAATGCTTACCTTGCTTCTTATGAATACACGCCATTTAGACACAAGGTTGTGTCGCTACTGGCCTCTGTGGTGAGTAAATTTTAAGTATTTTATTTCCATATTAAGTTACATGTGATGTTACTTGTTAGAGTTGGTCAACCACCGCCATGGTTGTTTGTCAACCCTACAAGTAGTTACTGAGAGTTTTATTCCGTCATCAAATGAAAATTTTGGTGAAGATGGTGTGTGCATGTACCGAGGGAGCGAGTAATTACCCAAATGTAGCCGCAATGAAGTCAAATAATGGTCCTACATGAATAAGTCGGACTGCCAACCACTTCTCGACTGGTATTTGGTGTCACGAAGTCACAAAAAAATTGGTAAACTTAATTTAATCTGAGTTAATAGATCGAGTGCATGTACCTAACCTAACACAACTCAGATTAAATTAAGTTTACCAATTTTTTGTGACTTTATGACACCAAATAATAATCGAGAAGTGATTCACAGCCCGATTTATGCTTGTAGGACCATTATTTGACTTCATTGCGGCTACATTTGGGTAATTAGTCGGACCGACCATATTGTGTCTTGTCTGAAGAGTTGTTAGTCTTTAGGCACTCAGTCTACGTGGATAATCGAGATGATGTAGTTGAGGAATCATCTTAGTCGCTCTGTGTTGCACAATTTATATGAATGTTAAGTCTTTCTGGAGGTAGAGTTTCTGTGCCTTAATACAGTAATTCAGATGGGGACCTACGTGATACTTATAAGGTTGAAGGAGCCTTTTCTTACCTTTATAATTGAAGGTACGACTTATAATTCTTAAATCTAGGTTATCTTTTTTCATTGGTGCCCCACTTGTGCCGCCTTCAGTGATTGGTTTATCACAATGCCTAGATCTTTTCCTTGTCAACAGTGTCCATGAAAGTGTTATTAACACAATAGTTGTGGTTAAGGTTGTTGTACCCTACATGCAGAGGGAGGGAGGGAAGTGGGTTGGGAGGGAGGGGAGGGGGGTGGGAGGGTTGGGTGGGTAGGTCGGAGGGGGGAGTGGGTGGATGGGAGGGTTAACTGGGTGAGAGAGTTGGGTGGGTAGGAGGGAGGGTGTCTGCATGAGAGGGAGTGAGTGTGTGTGTGGATGGGAGGTCCTCCCATCCACATGCCCTTCCTTCCATCCACACACTTCCTCCTATCCACACACACTTCCTCCCATCCACACTCCCCTCCCATCCATGTACCCTTCCTCCCACCCACACCCTCCTGTCCATCCACACACCCTTCCTCTCATCCACACACCCTGAGGGTCTTTTTAAATCTTTCAGATTGTGTGGCTATCTGTGGTGAACGGCTGGATGGCTCAGGTGGACTGCTGGCTGGTTGGCTCAAGGTGAATGGTTGACTGGATGTGGTGAACGTCTGGCAGGACAAGAACACCACCAAACAGGTAAAGTACTTGTGACAATATGTAATGTATATATGTAAGGTATTTATGAACATTGTCTAAAACTTTTTCTTTTGTAGGTTTGTGTGGCTGACTGTGGACCCACGAGAGGTGCTGCCTGGAGGTGGTAAAGGTAAACCTTATTTTTGTAATAGTAACAGCACCATAGTTAGAAGTAGATACACAGTAGTAACTCCGCCTTGTTCAACTGAACATGCCGGTCCCCAGCCCGGATAAAGGAGGAGGGCTACTGCAGTGTTGCATGATCACCACTTCATAAACTCTTCCTTTTCAGAGCAATTTATAACACAAGGTACAGTAACTTATATCAAGACCATGTTCACTATATTTACCAAGTCCAGCAATGTGATAATTTTGGCTTTTTATATGGATAGTATCGAAAAATGAGATTTAATGGTTAACTCTTGTTTTGAGGCCATGTTTAATACTGCAAGACTAAACATGTAGTATACAGGAAATCTTGAAAAAATAAAAGGAATTGTATATAGCTTATTTTCGTTTTTATTATACACAAGTTTGCAATAATAGTCCAGAAGTTCGATGCAGAAAGATTACAGAACAACTTGTCAAATTGCCTTATTGATCTTGGTGTCATACTTGTGCTGTCTAGGTGCTTACGTTTACAAGACATTCAGGTAGTCTTATGTTATCAATTAAAACCTTCATTATCTAGTATTAGTGTAGGAGGAAATCAGAGAACTTGCAATGGTTGGGAACGTCACACTAGATAACATTTTTCTCACATCTTGAGAAAAACACATTACCACTATACCAACTTTTTCTTCTGCGCAGAAAAATTCAGTGATCGAGGCGTCATCACGGCTATCAAGTATTTCCCAATTCAACTTTTATAATGGACTCTACTATAGGTTAGTTTATTACACTAGACCTTAATGATTTTGTCTATCTTATGTCAGGTTTTGGTCATACACAAGATTTAGTTTGATATAATAATGGAAGTATTGTACTTTGCAAATAATTTTGACCAGGTACAGTAGAAACCAGTATAAATTTATCCAAGTGACCAAGTCTATTTTGTATTCATCACTTGTCAATTTACTATCATTTTGGGCAGGTAGGTGGAGTGTGATATTTGCTAGGTTAACACCTTTCTCACATCTGCCCCAGGCTGGAATTTGGGCCCCAGGACAGTTTTGCGCTACACACAACCACTGTACTTATGTCAAATATCAAGTTATTTTTATTTCAAATTATTAAACATGACCATTGGATTTCAAAGTCTCTAGCTTTTTGTACAACCAAGTTAATTTTCATTGTGTGTTGTACATAGTAAATTTAAAATTTGAATTATAATTTTACAATGATTACTTTTCTTAATTTTAGGCAAAACGGAGTTCCATTCAACAATTGGTGTGCAGTGTCCAGATTGCCAACATTCCGTTAGTAAAATCCCTACTGTACTTTACTTTAATGTACTTTGTATACATTACTTTCAAAATAATAGTATGTATACAGAATCAAAACGTTATCTTTACGGACATGGCCAATGAATTTCAACATGAACACCGACACCTGTTGTCCGAGGTTATCAAAATCCTTCGTCCGAGGTGTCATTGTCTAACACCACCATAAAGATGCATTTTTGATGTACACCTTGTAATAACTACTGTACACTGAAATGAGATTACAATGCCATCTGTAGGTACAGTCCTGTGATCACCTTTTTAAATTGACATACCAAATAGGTCACTACATGGGCATTTGTTTGTAACAGTTCTACATAGGCTGGCACTTGAATGTCAATTAGTGATAAGTTTACATAGGCTATCATGTTGGCATCACAGAGGACCCATATACTTAACACCTCCCTTTCATTTACAAGATCATTTTTATTCTACTTTTTCCAAATCGGAGTATAAAAGATGTCAAATTTATTCAGTTTATTTTATTATGAACATATAGTATTGTATAATGAGCCAACATTATATTCTGTTTCTCAATACAAGTGCCAACCATTACACAATATATCTACCTTTTTTAATGCGTGGCTCGACTCAAGGCTTACTTATACGTTCTTAAATATTACTTTACTGTACTTTTAAATATTCTCAATTCTTAATTGAATAAATAAATTTGTGGTTAATAAGGTGGTAGTCATGAAGGTGTGGGATGGTTGACAGTACAGTAGAGAACAGTCGCTGAGGTCATCTGGCTTTCACATCTGGTACATGGATCTTGAACACCAACCACCTGTAATAACATTTTGAATTTGGATTAGTCTTAATTAACATTAATGTATCATTACCAATACACAACATTTACCCCAAAATTTCTTGCATCCTTACATATATCCATACACTCTAGCACCTTCCTGTAACACCTTACATGTGAGCACCAGCCTTCCTGCTCTTATGGCTGCAGCAGTCTTCTCACGGGCATCATCCACAACATTCCTACACAGTACATGCCATTTTACTCATAAGTTTATAACATTCACTATTAACCATTGTATGAGCACACCTCCACTGCCCGTGCACAAGCGCCCCTGCACCGCCCAACGTACGAGCGCCCCTCCACCGCCCAACGTACGAGCGCCCCTCCACCGCCCAACGTGAGCCGCCTCCACCGCCCAACGTACGAGCGCCTCCACCGCCCAACGTCCACGCCCACGTACGAGCGCCCCTCCACCGCCCAACGTA